GAGGCTTCCGTGGCGACCCCCCCCGGGACCCCCGCCCGTCTGTCTTGTTTCCCGACTTGCGCCTAAACCGGAGGCTTCCGTGACGAGCACGGGGGGGCCCCGGGCGCAACCTAAACTGGAGGCTTCCGTGACGGGGGGGCGCCCAAACCGGAGGCTACCGTGACGACCCCCCCCCCCCCTCCGGAGGTTTCCTGGTCGGGTGCCCTCGGGGGGGCCCTCTCGGGGCCCTCCAGGCCTTCCAGTGCAATCTCGGAGGGCCTCAAGAGGGCTCCAAGAAAGCCTCAGGAGGGCCTCAAAATTTCAAATATATTGACAAACTTGGAAGCTCTCTTGGAACCGTCTTGAGCCCGCTCGAAGCCCTCCGGATCGCACTGGAAGGCCCTGGAGGGCCCGGGCAATGCTCCAAGAGGGCCCCTAGAGGGCCTCAAGACGGCCCTCAGCGAGCCCCACGAGGGCCCCAAGGGGGCCCAAGAGAAACCCAAGAAGGCCTCTTGTGCACGACCACTTGCGTATATGAACACTGCTGTCCATGACCACTCTCGTATTCAACTGCTACTGTATATCACCCCTCCCTCCTGGCTCATCCCTTCACCCTCGTCGCTCCTCCTGATGATCAGGGCAAGTCGCCTGGTGATTTTTGGGGCGGGCTGGTGGGGATACGCGGAGCGCCAACAATTTCTGGAAGCCTGCCTGAGGGCTCAAGTGGGCCCCAAGTGGGCCCCGTGAGGCCCACAAGAGGACCTCGGGAGAGCCCCGCCTGGACCCCAAGAAAATCCAGGAAGTTAGGGCGCGCGCTGCATCCGGATTCAGGAATGTCTCGGGGTCCACTCGATGCCCCGTGGGGGCATTCTCCGGGACTTCCTGAAACCCGCCCGAAGCCGGAGGGAGCCCGCGTCGCCGAGAACTCGCTAACACGGCTTTAATAAAATCTAGTTACCCCCCAAGAGGGCCCAAATCCAATATTCAAAATGCTTTTTGGCTCTGGGCCATCTGGGGGTCCATCCGGGGTCCTCCTGGAGCCCCCCTGGGGGTCTCCCCAAGGCCCACCCGCGGCCCCCTCGAACCCATTGAGGGCCCCAAAGAACGCCCCAGAGGGCACCCATCAGAAGGGGTCCAAATACATGTATGTTTGGAGGGTCCGCATCAGGATGCATGGTGCAACATGGTGGCAAATCATGGGAGCCTACTTTAGCCAACTTGGTCTGGCTTTTGTTCATTTAGTGCAATTTAGTGCGGTTAAATCCGCCGCTGCACCCTTTGCCACTGGCGTCGTAATCGCCAACCGCCTCTCGCGCCGCAGCGCGCGGGGACGGAAACGCAAGCGGGCCACCTGCGACAGCGCGTTGCGCGGGCGGACGGCCACGGGAGAACGGATGGGGCCAACAGATATACCGCAACGTGCCCGCCATAAGGGCTGCGACGCCGGGCCGGGCCCGACGCAGAAACGATCCCCCGCAAGCCGCGGATCTGAACCGCACTGGGGCTTTGAACCGCAGCGGAACGCGACGGGAACGCCAAAGGGAAATCGACATCCTACTGGATCTGGACGACTAGGCTCTGTCTGGATTCATTACTTGGTCTAGATCTCCGACGATCTCCCGCCCCCCCCCCCCCCGGCGGCTTCCAAGGATCCAAAAAGGCCGAACCTGCGGGGCCTCTGGTGGTCTCTGAAAAGCCAGGGGGGCAAGAAAGCGACGACGAAAAGGAGGCGGCCCAGACAAGGAATTATTAATCAATCGTTGGTTATCCTCCTCTTCCTCGCTCTCCTCTTCCTCCTCTTCCTCCTCCTGCTCCTGCCCCCCTCCTCCTCCTCCTCCTCCTCCTCCTCCTCCTCCTGCAGTTGTTGGCTCCAGCTTCGCTTTCCAAATCCTGCAATGCCGTGGCCGATGACGTCTGGTTCCACATTTGCCTCCCACGTCCCAGTCGGCAGCGCCAGAACACGCTCCCAGTGCCATTGAGGGCTACTGACGGGGGAACACGCCTGCCCGAGGAGGAAGGGGAGGAGGAGGAGGGGGGGGAGAAGGAGGAGAGCGAACGATTCTGATTCGTAGCGTTGACCATCCAAACCTGGCAGCGCCGTAGCTGATGACGCGCGGTTCCACGCTGGCCTCCCACGTCCCGCTCGGCAGCGCCAAAACAAGCTCCAAGTGCTCTTGAGGGCAACCGAGAATGGGGGAACACGCATGCCCGAGGAGGAGGAGGAGGAGGAAGAGGAGGAGGAAAAGGAGGAGGAGGGGGAGAAGGAGGAGGAGGAGGAGGAAGAGGAAGACGAGGAGGAGGAGGAGGAGGAGGAGAACCAACGATTATCATTAGTAGTTGTTGGCTCCAACTCCGCCTTCCAAACCCTGCCATGCCGTAGCTGATGACGCTTGGTTCCACGATGGCCTCCCACAACACACTGGCAGCGCCAAAGCGCGCTGCCATTGCTCTCGATGGCAACTCGGGGGGGGGGGGGGGGACGCACGCCGGAGGAGGGGGGGGGGAGGAGAAGGAGAAGGAGGGGGAGCAGGAAGACGAGGAGGGGGAAAACAATTAGTCTGATTACTAGTTGTTGGCTCCAGCTTCGCCTTCCAAACCCTGCAGCGCCGTAGCTGATGACGCATGGTTCCACGTTGGCCTCTCACGCCCCACTCGGCAGCCCCGAAGCCGCGCTGCCACTCTTCTTGATGGCATTTGTTCTTGATGGCATGGGTTCTTGATGGCAGCGGTCCTTGATGGCAACTGTTTTTTGATGGCAACGGGCGAAGGAAACCGGCCAATGGCCTCGCAAGATGTCAATCGTCTACAAAGATGGGCCACAACAGCCAGAACGAGCGGATTGAGCCAGGAGTGGTTGAGCCCGCTTTCGGCCACGGAAAAAAACGAAGGCGGCGGGTGCCAGGCTCTGTCCTGAGTGCTATCGCTGGGCATATACAACTGTCTGGCGGGAGGAGGACGGAGAGAGGGGGGGGGGAGGAGAGAAACAGGAGGGGGGGAGAAAGCGGAGGAGGAGGAGGAGGAGGAATGCGACGAGTAGGAGGAGGAGATGGAGGAGGAGGGCATGCAGGAGGAGGATCAAGAGGAGGAGGAGGACGGAGAGGAGGTGGCGGAACACGAGGCGGAGGAGGAGGAGGAGGAGGAGGAGCAGGAGAGGGATCAGGAGGAGGATGAGGAGCAGGAGGAGGAGGAGGA